CGGTGTACAAATCAACCATAGTCGAAGAACTGCATTATCGGGGGTTTGTTATAAACGTAGAACTATTTAAAGATTTGTGATAGGTAGTCAAGTGCGTGGGTTCAAGGGAACTGGTTCGCAGGAACTTCAGGCCGCTGTCGAATCAGTTGCGCTCTGAACTACGCCGAAGTGAGGACAGCAGCGTGGATGGTTAGCTAATGGGCATCTTACTGTATGGATTGGTAAATGAATACCGTTCTTGCATACCTACACACACTTATGGAAGTTAACTTCTGTCATTTTACAAGTAATTTTATTGCGACCAACATGCTTCCGTTTCGGAATTAAAAGGCTACTTGTTTGCCTGCTACTGAGGAAAGCTACATTATCCTAATATTATATAAGTGGTTCACAGAAATACCAGACAAATCATAACTAGGTTCCCCTCAGCAACCATTTAGATCCGTGTGAAATACTCTAATTCAATGACAACGTAATGTATAGCCAATTGTGATTGTGTGACAGAGAGAGAGAGTCAAACCCAGAATTACATATCCATTAGTTCATCAAAAAATGAATGTCTCTCTGGAGGCCGAGTGTACACAATCAACACATGTTGACATGCTGTGAATCTCGGCTCCGTTCTCCTTTTGGATCGTCATGGTAGATTATCCCCACAAATCTATTCAGGTTTTGATCTCTCTGAAGTTAACTGTTCTACATTTTTTACCACAATTTCTTTTGACGTCTTCAAATCTTTCGCACTGTTGTTGTTATTGTTAATGTTGTTATTGCTGCTGCTGCTGCTGCTGCTGCTTCTGTTGTCGCTTTTGTTGTTGTTGTCGTTGTTGTTGTTGCTGTCATCGTCGTTGTTGTTGTTGTTGTTGTCGCTGTTGTTGTTGTCGTTGTTCTTGTTGTTCTTGTTGTTGTTGTTGTCGTTGTTCTTGTTGTTCTTGTTGTTGTTGCTGTCGTCGTAGTTGTTGTTGTTGTTGTTGTTAGTGTTATTTATTGTTCTTGCTGCTGTAGTAAAATCAATAAGACACGAATGAAGGGAAGGTTAATCACGTATATCCATCGGAGAACAGGATGAAAAGTAACTGATAGATTCAGAACGTTAGTTGTGTGAAAAAACGTCCAGCACGTGATCGCATGATGCCATATTTAGAATGATGGTGATTCAAATGCGTTAATCGGTGAAAATTGATCCCTTGGAAACATGAGAAATTTGCGCAGCACTGAGAAATGAAAATAACTATCTCCAAGTTTTACACCTATGAAATATAAGTGGTTCATTAGGTAGATTTTAGCTACGGTAAGGTAACTTCATCATACCTTGTTAAATACTCTTAAAATTGATTCAATTTGTTCGCACCCATGGGATAAATGAGAATTGCATTGAAGAATTTCGTGCCGGAAAGATATCAATCAACTGAATACGATCATGGTAGTTACCGGCAATTTCACTAACACATGAATCTGTATGCCTCTTTACTTCTTCGGAGTCTCAAAACATGTGTATCCACTCTAGATTGTTCTTTGTCGGCCGTCACACAAACTTTACCAGTGAGAGTGTTACTTTTCGATTACTTCGTTTTTTATTCAATATAGTATATAGTTGCATCTTACTAAATCTACTCTTGATTGAGATAAAATTGTAATACTCTCATCAGTTGTTTGTTCCACTCCAGCACCCTTAATGCCCCCTCAAAAAGGGAGTTTCAGAAAGATTCAGAATAGCTTCAGTCTCTCAGATTAAAAGCAAATTAGCAAAACAAATGAACATATTTGTATCATCTTTGTATGATAGATGCCGTATACCATCAAAGAGTTTTGGGTTCAATAAAATGACTGACTATCTCTGAGGAAGACATCCGAACAAACATGAATTACTAATTCTGGTTAGCTGCCCGGTGTTAATTGGCATAGTCATCCTAGCACCATCATCATCATCTTGCAGCAAAATACAGTGCGGAGAACTTTCCTGATCGCTGCCATACTCGCAATGCATATAAGGTTAGTGGTAAAAATTTAAGGTGAACAGGTCTTGGATCTATTTCGAGGGAGGGAGAACGAGATGAATCATTATGGTCGACACAGAGTACGCAATCGAATTGTGCATACATGCCGTTTCAAGCATTCTGACCTGATATGAAACGACAACAAGAACGCCACTGCTACCGGTTCGCTGCCATATCCTTCAATGTCTCCAAACAACGTGGAGTCTTTCGGACCCCAACCTAGAAGGCGAGAGACACCTACTCTACCTAATGGCTCTGTGCATTTCTTCATGCCTCGTCTCCACGACATCTGTTGACCTCCACGTGGTTTCATCCAGCCCGGATTAGCTACTGCGAGTAAAGCGCGGTGCGGCAGACGATGGCTGGGCATAGGCAATACGTGTCCTAGCCAGCGAAGCCTAGTAATCTGAATTCGGTATGCTAGTAGGTTTATACCTGACAGACTCCCAAACAAACGACGGCCTACCTCCACGTTAGTAACCCGTTCGCTCCATCCCACACGGGCTAAACTACGTAAACACCGATAATCGAAAACTTCTAGTGGACGGATATCTTCTACTCGCAAATTCAGGGTCTCACTACCATAAAGTAGGACTGAACGAACACTAGCACAAGGTGCACGACCTTTCAACTTCAATGAAACGTCGCGTCTACGCCAAAGGTGTTTCAGTCCTGCGTATGCTGCTCGAGTCTTGGAAGTGCGGGCGGTTATCTGCTTTGCTGCACTACCGTCATTGGTCACACAGCTACCTAAGTAGGGTTAGCAACCCTCCACAACTAAATCCCGGCCATTTGACATAATATTAATGATAATACACAGATCTTCCGTGCGATGTGCCCTGTTGATGAGCTCTAATAAAACCGAAACTCGAGTCTGCATCATTGGTCGCTTTTCGTGCTCTGTAGCTAAAACTGCACCTGTCTGAAAACAAATTTTTACAATCGTTACAATCTCGTTTTGCATTAGCTACAGAACACGATAGAATACTGAATTTTGAAAAACTTCAGATAAATGTTTTAAAATTACTGGTTATTTTTGTTCCAATCAATGTGACGAAACATAATGAATCAACCTTTCGTCTTTATGCATCCGGTGCACGTCACACAATTGGAATTGGCGCCGAAACCTGATGTCAGCTGACTTTGCCGGGGCACTAGCTCCATTCAGACATTCTGGTCTCTGTGTTAGTCTAACTGAGTTCAACAGAATCTCTATCCTTT